AGAAGAGACTGATCAGCCATTTGTCTGAAATGGTATAGGGTTACCTGCCTAAGCAAATCCCTCCTCCCCCTCCCATACTTCCCAGAGCTGAATACAGGGTTACAAATATGACAATCATAATCTAAATAACATTAACCAACTATATAAAAACCAAATCTATAACGGTCACTGAGTGAACTGTTGTTAACCAAGGACAACCTGCACAAGGGAGCAGGGAGGAAAGATCCAAATGATAAGTCCCAGAAAGTGCCAGCCTCATGTGAGTTTGATGCCCTCATTACCCAATCAGAATCAGAATAGATCTGGAAGGGACCTTGGAGGTCTTCTAGTCCAGCCCCCTGCTTAAGGAGGAGACCCTATCCCATTTCAGACAAGTGACTGTCTAGCCTCTTTTTAAAATAGAGTAGAGTAGAGTAGATTGGAATAGAATAGAATAGAATAGAATAGAATAGAATAGAATAGAATAGAATAGAATAGAATAGAATAGAATAGAATAGAATAGAATAGAATAGAAAATATGGACTGGACTGGACTGGACTGGACTAGACTAGACTAGACTAGACTAGACTAGACTAGACTGGACTAGAGCTGGAAGGGACCTTGGAAGTCTTCTAGTCCAGCCCCCCCCCCCAACAGGAGAACCTATACCATCTCAGACAAGTGACTGTCCAGTCTCTTCTTAAAAATCTCCAGTGATGAAGCACCTACAAACAAAGTCATATTCTAAAAATGGAGGACTAGAACGCTAAAGTTGGAATAAAATAGCATCTGGAATAATGAGACATGGTTGGCTTTGGAAAGGACACAGGAGACAGAGATTCTACTAAACTATTGAGTTTTTACAGTAAATGTGTTCCAGCAACCAATCAATCAACCAGCATATAGCTGGAAGGGACCTTAGAGGTCTTCTAGTCCAGCCTCCTGCTCAAGCAGGAGACCCTAGACCATTTCAGACAAGTGACTGTCCAATCTCTTTTTAAAAACCTCCAGTGATGAAGCACCTACAAACTTCTGGTGCAAGCTGTTCCACTGGTTGATTGTCCTCATTGTTAGGAAGTTAATTCCAGGTTGCTTCTCTCCTCGATCAGTTTCCATCCGTTGTTTCAGAGGAGAGGAAGGATGGAGAATAACCCCGTTTCCCCGTACACGCCTGGCCCTAAGGCCTAGTGTGACTCACCAATCTCCCAAAGGATTTGTCTTTTCTTGCATTTTTGGCATCTTCCTCCCCTTTCCCACCCCCACTGGGTAGAATTGCTTTAATTTCCCTGGAGACGCCTCTCCCTGTGACGCACTGTCAGCTGGGCACTCGGAACCCGTGCCTTGTTTTTTTTGCTCCATGCAATGGGCTGGAGCGTTGTCAAAACATGAGAAGCAACCCGCAGGTGTCACCAGCGTGATCCAAGTGCTCAGCCTTGAGGGGTTTGGAAGCACGGAATAATCTTCAGCACGAATTGTGCCCGTTTTATTGAGCAGGTGCCGTCTCCTCTCCGAAGAGATCTCGCTGGCTTCCTTAAGCACACCGAGGGGGTTATGATGACAAGACCACCGTGGTGGCTTAGCGTTCCAGCTTTTGATTGCCTGAAAGAAGGAACCGCCTTGGTTCTTATCCGTCCCTTGGCGCTGTTCCCAATGCCCCGATAAAATATTTGAGCCACATCTATAATATCGACAGAGCAAATGATCGTAATTTATTGACGGAGATTTATAGCCCCCGTTTCCCCCAGATGTATGCCTACCTCACCAATCTGCATTGAAGAGGTCAGTTGCCAGTGGGGTGGAGAGGTTCGGAGGGCTTCACATGCTCAAAGACGAGTCTTGGTTGAAGCTTGTAGTGAAGAGAAGGTCCAGGGGAAGACACGAGAGCAGCGTTCCAATATTTGAAGGGCGGTCACAAAGAGGAGGGGGTCATCCTGTTCTCCAAAGCACCTGAAGGCCGGATAAGGAATAACAGATGGGAACTGATCAAGGAGAGATTCAGCCTAGAAATAAGGAGACATTTTCTGACAGTGAGAAGAACCAACTAATGGAGCTAAGTTTTGGGAGCTTCATCAGTGGAAGCTTCCAAGAAGAGACTGGACAGCCCTCTGTCAGAAATGGTGTAGGGCAGTGATGGCGAACCTTCTAGAGACTGAGTGCCCAAACTGCAACCCAAAACCCACTTATGCATTGTCGGGTGCCGGGTGGGCATGGCCCATTGGGTGGGTGTAGCCCATTGGGTGGTCATGGCCCATTGGATAGGTGTGGGTGCAGTGGTAATGGCAGACTAGGTGGGACTAAAAAGTTCAATCAATCAATTCCAACTTTGCAAGATCTTTTTTTTTTCCCCACGAGAAGTTGAAATTGAGTGATTGAACCTTTTTTCTTTTTTTGCACACGGCGGCGGAGGCCTAAAACGAAAAGGTTTTATGAAACCCAGCTGAAGGCCTAGGACTGGGGCGACGGCGCGCGTGCCCACAGAGAGGGCTCTGAGTGCCGCCTCTGGCACCCGTGCCACAGGTTCGCCACCACTGGTGTAGGGTCTCCGGCTTGGGTAGGGGGTTGGACTAGATGATCTATAAGGTCCCTTCTAACTCTGTCATTCTATGTTCTTAGCCTTGCCAAGTTCTGTCTGCTGTTTGCTCTTCTGACTAACTACACGTCCAGGTTGTTGTGAGGCTAAACATGCATCCCCTGCTGGCTTCTGTTCCTTCTTTTCATTAAGAAAACAGTCTCAACGTCCCCAGAGGGGACCTGGGGCAGCTTTGCAATTTGCCTGCGTGGTGCCAAGTGCTTGCCTTTTTCTGCTCTCTCAAGGTCGTGCCAAAAATAACTGTTCTCCTACGATTGGACTCTTGTTTGCACGGCATGCTAAACTGGGTCAGCAGAGGTTGTAGCGTGTTGTGCAAACAGGATCCAGTTAATTAACTCCGGCAGAAAACCGTAGTTAAACCTTCCCACCTCACGGGCTGCAGCGCACAAATGAATCCAAAGGGATCCTGCAGAAATAAGCCTTGCCTAGGAACTTCCTCTCTGCCCGCTGTGAGTCTGTCTGCGTGCAATCCAAAGCACAGTTTCTCAACCTCGTTGGCTGGGGAATTCTGGGAGTTGAAGTCCACACATCTGACAAGTGCCAAAACGCTGGTCCAAAGGCTTCAGTTCTGAGGGCCCTGTTTTATTGAAAAGTTTTACAAAAGTTTACAACAAAACAACCCCAAACCCCTCCTCCCCCTCCCATACATCCCAGAGCTGAATACAGGGTTACAAATATGACAATCATAACACTGGCAACAAATAACATTAACCAACTATATAAAAACCAAATCCATAATACACTTTAACTCCCTTTTAACATAAAATCAACAAATTCTAAATAAGCATAATAACATAAACAAATTAATATCCTAATTCTTAAACAATACGATATAATAAAAATTCCACTATAATAAACTGTTGATGATGATGATGATGATAATAATAATAATAATATCTGTAATACCATCAAACATCCACATCTGCCTATCCCAGGTCCTGGGTAAGGACTCAATAGGTAGACAAAATGCCAAATCCAGTCTGAACATCTGGCTGACTGTGCGATGATCCATAATAATAATAATAATAAGTTGGAAGGGACCTTGGAGGTCATCTAGTCCAAACTCCTGCTCAAGCAGGAAAGCCTATACCATTTCAGACAAATGGCTGTCCCGACTCTTCTTAAAAACTTCCAGTGTTGGAGCATTCACCGCTTCTGGAGGCAGGTGGTTCCACTGGTTAATTGTTCTCACTGTCGGGAAGTTTCTCCTTAGTTCTAGGCTAATTTTGTATGATGCTGGAATGCGAGAAAGGCAGCTCAACTGCCAAGCCTGGAGATGTGGTTCGATCCAGCCTATAACGCAGAGCTAGGCCAGGCCAGATTGGGGGTGGTGGGGGGGGTTGCACCTTCTGCCTCGATTCCTGAAGGGGAGGGTGGGGAAGCCCCCTTCTCAGACCGGGTGGCAATCCAGACCTTCAGCTGTTGTGCAAAAAGCACAGCTTGCATTTTCAAGAAGAAAGGAGAAGATGAAAGAAGAAGCCAAAAAAAAAAAAAAAAAAAACAACCAGGGAGATGAAACTAAAAGCAAAAGTTTTTGATGATTTCTTAGGAAAGGTGAATGGGTTTTTCTCCCCACCAATTATCCTTCTTCCTGCTGGATCTTCAGCAAAACTTTTTTTTTCCACTCCCCCCCTCTGTCCCTCCCAACCCGGGGAAAAAAAGATGAAAGGCAAACAGGTTAATGGCTGGAGTCCAGAGTTAGGAAAATCGAAAGTCAGGCTGCGTATTTGACATTGGGGTTGGCTACTCTAAAGAAAAGAAGAAATAGGGGAGACAGAATAGCAGCATTCCAGTATTTGAGGGGCTGCCACAAAGAAGAGGGGGTCACTTTGTTCACCAGAGCACCAGAGGGCAGGACGAGAAGCAATGATTGGAAGTTGATCAAGGAGAGAAGCAACCTGGAATTAAGGAGAAACTTCCTGACAGTGAGGACAATTAACCAGTGGAACAGCTGGCCTTCAGAAATCGTGGGTGCTCCCATCACTGGAGGTTTTTAAGAAGAGACTAGACAGTCACCTGCCTGAGATGGTATAGAATAGAAATAAAAATAGAGCTGGAAGGGACCTTGGAGGTCTTCTAGTCCAGCCCTGCTCAAGCAGGAGAACCTATACCATCTCAGACAGGTGACTGTCCAGTCTCCTCTTAAAAATCTCCAGTGATGGAGCACCCACGATTTCTGGTGGCAAGCTGTTCCACTGGTTGATTGTCCTCCTTATCAGGAAGTTTCTCCTTAATTCCAGGTTGCTAGATCAATTTGAAGCCATTTTATTCATATTTGTCAAGACTGGGTGCAATTTCTGCCTTTTTCTAGCGGTACCTTTCAAACTTGTGTGTTTTGAATGACAAATGACACGTGGGTCTAGAGGAATGATCTAATCTGCTTCTTCCTCCTCTTTCTCTCCCTTTCCTTTGGGACCTTTTGTTTTTTCAGGAAGCAAACTGCTGATTTTGGTGCTGTGCTTGAACTTCCCAACAGAAGTGGCATTGTGTCCCGGAGCATGCGTGTGCTACAGTGAACCCAAAATCACTATCAGCTGCCAGCAGCAAGGGCTCGGCACCATCCCCATCGAGATCCCAGTCCAGACTCAGCGGATTTTCCTACACAACAACCGAATCAGCCTGATCCAGTCCACCAGCTTCACTTTCTGCCGCAATTTGTCCATTCTCTGGATCCACTCCAACAACATTAGTCGTATTGAACCCGGAGCATTCTATGGGCTTGACAAACTGGAGGAGCTGGATCTCAGTGACAACGTCAACCTGAAGTCCATTGACCCTTCTACCTTCCAGGGCCTTGTCCACCTGCACACTTTGCACCTTGATCGTTGCGGACTCCTGGAGTTGTCCACGGGCCTTTTCCGGAGCCTTTTCTCCTTGCAGTATCTCTACCTGCAGGACAACAACCTGCAGGAGCTTCTGGACGACACATTTCTGGATCTGGCTAACCTCACCTATTTGTTTTTGCACGGGAACAAAATCAAGAGTTTGTCGGAAAACGTGTTCCGGGGCGTGGTGAGCCTGGATAGGCTGCTGTTGCATCAGAACCGGGTGAGCGTGGTGCACCGCCGGGCCTTCCACGACCTCGGGAAAGTGATGACCTTGTACCTTTTTAATAATAACTTGACGGTGCTGACAGGAGAGACGATGGCGCCCCTGCGGTCTCTCCAGTACCTGCGGCTCAACGGCAACCAGTGGGTGTGCGATTGCCAGGCCCGCTCCCTCTGGGATTGGTTCAAGCAGTTCAAAGGGTCTTCCTCGGAACTGGAGTGCCACTTGCCTGCTCACCTGGCGGGGAGGGACCTTAAGCGCCTACTGAGCGCTGAGCTGGAAGGCTGCCTCGACTCCTTCAACCAGATCCGAACCAGCGTCTTCAGCTCCAAGACCAGGTCCGGCGAGCTGCCCACAGCAGAGCCCACTCTTGGTCCCCAGGACAACTTGCGGAAATGTTGCCAGCCGGAGATGGATAAATCGTTCATTTACGAAGCCAAAGCCAAGGGGGGGCCTTCTCACAGCAACCAGGCTTCCCCTAACAATCCACTCAAAGATAAGGAAAACATGGCCAAAACCAAGCACCAAGTCGAGGAGGCAGAACTGCCCAAAAATGGCAGCAACAAGCACATCAACGATTCGCCCTTTGGAACGTACCCCAGTGCGGTCGACCCCCCCTTGACCAACTTGAAACCCGGGTTCCCGGGTCCCGTGGAGCCCTCCACCAGCCCGACCAGAAGGAGGCAGGGATGTTCTAGAAGGAATAAGTCCAGGTCCCAGTGCCGCATGGCACAGCCGGCTCCCAGTGGCAGTCCCAGCCCCCCGACCCTCCCAAGCCTTCTGCTGCCCCCCATTGTTTGGAGTCTGTTTTGCTTCTCTTGAACTCAAGCCTTGTGGTTTCAGGAGGGGCTCTCGGCTTTCAGAAGGGAAAAACAGGAGGTGTGGGTGGGGGGAAGGCAAAGCTTCAGCCCCAAAGGTTGTGAAGGAGAAGGTGAAGCTATGGCCAGAGAAAACGTTGTGATGCTAAACATTTACTGGATGCCTTTATAAACTCTCTCTCAGACACACTCACACACACACACACACACAAATCAACAACAATAACAAAAGGGTGTAAATAATTTATTTCTTCCTTCTGGAATTTTATATGTTTGATTTTGATGGGTTGATCTTGCCTTTGTCCTTGGAATTACCCTTTTCCCAAAGAGAAAGAAAACAAGAGAAAGAAAGAAAAGAAAGAAAAAAAGAAAGAAAGAAAGAAAGAAAGAAAGAAAGAGGAAGGAAGGAAGGAAGGAAGGAAGGAAGGAAGGAAGGAAGGAAGGAAGGAAGGAAGGAAGGAAGGAAGGAAGGAAGGAAGGAAGGAAGGAAAAAAAGAAAGAAAGAAAGAAAAAGAAAGAAAGAAAGAAAGAAAGAGGAAGGAAGGAAGGAAGGAAGGAAGGAAGGAAGGAAGGAAGGAAGGAAGGAAGGAAAAAAAGAAAGAAAGAAAGAAAAAGAAAGAAAGAAAGAAAGAAAAAAGAAAGGAAGGAAGGAAGGAAGAGAAAGAAAAAAGGAAGGAAGGAAGAGAAAGAAAGAAAGATTAGAAAAATAAGAGGTACAACCCCCCCCCCACATCTTTGTTAATGTTCCCCTCGCCCCAAAATCGTTCCTTGTAATTTGAAGTCCTAAATCAGGTATTGCACATTTTTTCCCCATCTGCTGAGAATCATGTCAGTGGCATTTTTAATAATGTACATTTCTGAATTTTGAGGTTTCGCCTCCTTTCGTTTCCACTTGACCAGGTTTGCAGGAGGAGGCATTTGTTAAAGAATGCTCCCTTTTCATTCACCGAAGACTGCAGTATATATATAAATATGAATATAGCTATATATATATATAGATAATGCATTTTATTTTACTTGTGTACAAGTACAAAAAAAATACGAAATAAATATTTCTTTCTTTTTTTCCCCCCCTTTGTGGTGTTATCACCTTCACGTGCACACACACACACACGCACACGCACACGGCTCACACCTCTTCTGTGGGTTGGCCTTTTCTTCCTGGATTTGCTGGTTTGTGTCTCAAAACGCCTGCAAAAGCACCTGAGAGGCGTCACCTGCTGGATGGAAAAACAGCGTCTGAGCTTTATGCAATTCCCAGCTGGCATCAGCAAAGGATTCCCTCCCACGAATGCCACTCTGTTAACAGTGCAGTGCCCTCTCTGCCTCCCTGAAAGGTCTGCTGGCATCATGAATTATTTCAGACCGCTCCAAATAGCAAGCAAGGATGGAAATGGGTGTTTGGGCCAAGGCGGCTTAGACGCCAGAGAGCAGGCAGTCAAGAGTCAACCACAGCCCAAATAACTGAAAGTGAGATCGGAAAATAGACGACGGTCTCCTGCAGGTCTATCAAGGCTGAACTAAAGTGGTCTCTCTGTGTAGATATGGGTGGCTGTGTGTGTGTGTTTGTTTTGGGATGTCTAGTCTAGCCTTCATTTTTTTTTATTTCTAGGAGATTTGAACACGTTTTTTTGACAGTCTTCTGGAGGCAACAGCCTCCCGGTTCTGTTGGAGCAGGGGGCTGGACTAGAAGACCTCTAAGGTCCCTTCCAGCACTATTTTATTCTGCTCTGCTCTATTCTATTTTAAAAATAGGCTAGACAATCACCTGTCTGGGATGGTATAGGTTCTCCTGCTTGAGCAGGGGGCTGGACTAGAAGACCTCCAAGGTCCCTTCCAGCTCTATTCTATTCTAAACAGAAATCAAAGTTTATTAATTGATTAGCCGTATGACCAGATCGAAGAAGACAGAATAAAATAGGACAGGGGTCCCCCACACTTTTGGGTTGGCAGCCCGGTGGGAAAGGGAGGAGCAGGCACCTTTATGCGTCTATGCGCACACATGTTAATGTGGCTGTGCACGCATGCACATGAATGGGGCTGTGAGCATGCACGCTAGTGCCGGCTCACAGCTAGTGCCGGTGTGAGACTCGTGGCTCGTGGCTCGGCTAGTGGCAGTGCAAGGAAGGGTGGGCACGTGTGCTCTCTGACTAGCCACTCATGCATCCTGGTGGCCAAGAGGCCCTGGGCCGGCAGTGGGCCACGATCTGAAATAGGGGATCTAATTCCAGGGTAAAATAGATAAAAGAAAATATAATACATCTATAGCAGACATGTCAAACACAAGGCCCGGGGGCCAGATGCGGCCCGCGAAGTGGTTTCATGTAGCCCGCAAAGCCATCCTGCAAACAGTGAGGGAACAGCCCCCACTGCCTCGGCTGTGGCCCAGGCCGGCCGGGAGCCAATGTACAATTTTGTGGTGGCCATCTATGCTGAAATGCATTCAGTCTTACTCCACAAGGCCGTCCGGAAACAGCGAGGAACCAGCCCCTGCCGCGTCGGCCCTGCCCTCTGGGTGCATGCTGGGGAGGTGTCCCCCTTTGTGAGGAATGAAGAAATGGACCATGCCTTGGCGCTTGCCCCGGTCCCACCCCCTTCTGCCAGAGACCCTCAGATCTGTCCCACTTCTGCCCAGGCCCCCACAGGCTCCCTTGACGCAAACAATGTAGACCTGGCCATGCCCACCCAGTAGGCCACACCACTCCATCCACGCCCACCCAGTAGGCTGCACCCACCCTGGCCACACACACCCACCCAGCCCCGAGGGCAACTGCAATGCTAATGTGTCCCTCAGTGAAATTGAGTTTGACACCCCTGCATTACACTGAACGGTTAAATTGTCCCACAGCAAGTTGTCCCACCGTGAGTTGACTGCAACGAGTTGTCCATTTCGTCTTTCCCAGCACCTTGCACATTCCCCAAGTGTCCACTTGTTCTAAATTCCATAGGGAAAAATTCCCACCTGGATGCCTGTTAAGCCAGGGAAACTGCAAGCAGCTGGAGAGAATTTCAAACAAGAGTTACCGAAAGGGAACGTCACGGGTTTGCAGAAGTCTCCATGACTGGATTACTTTCATTTTGGAACCCAATTTCTCAGCTCACTGAGGCAGAAACCTCTTCCACTTTTTATTAAAAATTTTGCCGTGCATCGGTAAGGCGGCTGTTGCGTTGTACCTGTTGGCTCAGGTAACAGAGGAACGTGCAGATGGCTGCAATTCACATATCACCTTGGAAATCTGCCTGTGGGCTGGAGGCAGGTTCATATTCACACACCTCCATGAACCATTTGGTTAAAATATTAAGACATTTCTCTTAATATTTTACCTTGCGAACGGAATTTTGAAAGCAATTTCTGCTTCAGAGCATCGTGGAATGTACGAATGGGAAAGCACAGGTAGCCCTTGACTTACAACTGTTCATTTAGTCACCCTTCCAAGTTACAACAGCATTGAAAAGATTTGTCGTGTGGCAATTTTTGACATGGCCGTGGAAGCGTGCCCACAGTCAACGTGATCAGAATTCAGATGACTTGTATTTATGATGGGTTGCAGTGTCCTGGGATCATGCGATCCCGTTTTGCAACTTTCTGACAAGTCACTTAACAACCACGTTACTAACTTGAAAACTGCAGTGATTCGTTTAATAACTGGGGCAAGAAAAGTTGTAAAATGGGAGCAAAACTCACTTCACAAATGTCTCACTTAAGAACAGAAATTTTGATCTCAGCTGTGGTCGTAAGCCGAGGGCTACCTGTAGTCAATCTCTTCAATGCTGGAAACACAAATTAATCCACGAAAGGTAGCAAAACTATAATGCAGGGGGTCTTCAAACTTAGCCCTTTGATGACAGGCTGAGGAATTCTGGGAGTTGAAGTCCACAAGTCATGAGGGCTAAGTTTGAAGACCCTTGCCATAATGAGTTGGAGGGATTAGCAGTTGGCAGTCAAATAGATTTGCTCTCCAAGATATCTGAGACTGCAGTTCATCAAACTGGAAAATTTACAAGACAAAGTTTTCTATATGACCCTGCTGAGTTTTGCCTTCAGATTAATCCAATGAACTGTAACATTTTATACTGCTGAGGAAATAAAAAAAAGTTTACTACAGTTTAATATCTTTGTTCCAGAAATGCTAGCTTTGCGTACGTGTGTGTGTGTGTGTGTGTGTGCAGAGTCCTTCTAAAAAAAAGAGATTGTATCTGCAATCTGAAGTGATATAGACCATTTTTCTGTTGATTCTTTGGAATAATAATTACCCCATCAGTCCTGGGGAAATATAGTACATCTACTTCAGCTGCTTTTGCATCATAATTACACAAACTGAATTTGTGTATGGAAATAATTAAAAAAAAACATTGCTTATGAGATTGGCAGGGGCTCCTCGGTGGGGCTAAAAAAAAATTGAAGATGGCAACTGCAACAGCCACCATCTCGACTTTTTTGCCTAGCAACCCATGTGGACACCCTGGAAAATGGAGCAAGCCCTTTGCAGGAAAAAGTGCTCCTTTGGGGTTGGGGGTTGGCATAGACAAGGGGTCTTCAAACTTGGCCCTTTTATGACTTGAGGACTTCAACTCCCAGAATTGGTAGAGGGTTGTTTTTTTTCAGTAAGAATTCACTTTTTAAATAGCTTGTGAATGTTTTAAAGCTTCAGTAAGGTTCTTCTTGATGTATTTATAAGTTGTAGCGATGACGGGACTTGCATATCCCAAGGATGATGTGAGATCCCATCAGGAGCATCCCTCCCAGAAGATCACCTATGATAAGAGCTCATGGATAAGGGATAACCTATGATCCACTGGAGAAGCGAAGGGCAACCACTCCCCTTTTCCAAAAAGAATGGGCCTTCACAACCAGGACTGGCCTGCAGGCTGGAAGGTCCCCACCGAGCTACTGGGGAACCACAGAGAGCAAGTACAGCCAGCTCTGAGGCTTATGATGCCACTGGATTAAGGCCAAAAGAATCTCCAGATGGTGATGTGCCCAGAGGCAAAAGGGGGGAGTCATAGGCATTTTCATCCCACAAGGACTACCAGAACGGTGAACCATCGCCAAAGCAGAAAGATTGACATTCTGGAATTGGAATGGACCAGAATGGGCCACTTCACATCAAAAACCTTCTATTGTGAATCAAGAAAAAATTCATAGGAAAGAAGGAACAGCCATCTTTATAACCCAAAGGGTCAAGGTTGGTGTCAGCTGCAACCCAAAATGATGGAAAGATCCAAGGTAAGTCAACCAGAACACGTGTTCCAAGTTGGTGCTTCAGCTGCAGATGCAAAGGAAGCAGGAATTGAGGATACCTCACACCCCAAATAAAAGTCATATACTAAAAATGGAGGACTAGAATGCTAAAGTTGGAATAAAATAGCATCTGGAATAATGAAACATAGTTGGCTTTTGGAAAGGACGCAGGAGACAGAGATCCTGCTAAA